AGGACCGAATCTAGGAATTAAGCCAACTCAGGTAATCGATGTGCAAAACCAGATCATGGAGAGTTAGAGCTCAATCCACGCAGAGAAAACTACGCAGATACAACCGAAAGGACGTGGACTCATTTCCTGGACAGGGTAAGACATATGGGAAAGTGTCTTCACACTTACTGCCTTTGTTTACCTATCATTAAATAAGGAACCTGTGTGTTAATCATGTGTTATGAGTCACATATCAGGAGGAAAAAAACGTTCTCAACAATGTTTAACAACGTAAGTTAATACTGGACACTGTGAACACAATTCTTGATCTCGCACACGCCTTGGATGCTTGAGAGAAAATAAAATGAATCCATCTTTCAGGTACCTCCCTTACACGCGTGTGTCCCACCTGGCTAATCTCAGCACTATGCTGGTCTCCAGCTCCTCCTCCTGCTCCTCCTTCCCTCCTTCAGTGATCAGCAAGGTGCGTAATGGAAGCCTTCTCACGGAGAATTCAATCTCCATAAACGTGCTGCATCCAGGACCACATCCTCAATATTTGTAATTCTTCCCTGTATTTCATTTCGCCTCTCTCCATCACTTTTCCTCTCCCTCCCCCCGTCTCTCTCTCTCTCTCCTTCCCTCGCGCACCCTCAAGCCGTCAGAGTCACTCCCAGCTAGTATTACTCGGTAGTGTTGTACCACAGTCACTGTGGTCTGCGGCAACAGGTGGTCAGCAAAGAGCTCTTGAATTTTCATTGCAGTTTCTTGCTCGTACACACACACAAAAAAAAAAAAAACAAAAAAAAAAAAAACAGAAAGGAGTCAACAAACATCAGCGGATTTCACTTCACATATTTTACCGGCTTCTCTATTCCTCTTCTGTTTCCTCTCGCCATTCTTGCTTCGCTCATCACATTCTCATTCCTGCATATACGCTAGCACAACTCAGAATGTTGAAAAAATTTTGTGTTTGTTAATAACTAAACTGTGAAATCGGATTTTAAAACAAATGATATTTTTTCTCGAATATATGCCAGTAGCCAAATATCTCGCGATACCACCAGCATACCCTTTCATATATACCACCAGCATACCCTTCAATATATACCATCAGCATACCCTTCCACATATATCACCACACCAAAATATCCTTCCCATATATACAAAAAATAAATAATTAGACAGAAACCACCACCATACCAGTGTATATACTGTGGTAACAACCACAACTCTACCAATGTATATACTGTGGTAACAACCACCACCCTACCAGTATATATACTGTGGTAACAACACCACCCTACCAGTGTATATACTGTGGTAACAATCACCAACATACCAGTGTATATACTGTGGTAACAACCACCACTCTACCAGTGTATATACTGTGGTAACAACCACCACTCTACCAGTGTATATACTGTGGTAACAACCACCACTCTACCAATGTATATACTGTGGTAACAACCACCACTCTACCAGTGTATATACTGTGGTAACAAAAACCACTCTACCAGTATATATACTGGGGTTTAACAACCACCACTCTACCAGTGTAAAATACTGTGGTAACAACCCCCACTCTACCAATGTATATACTGTGGTAACAACCACCACTCTACCAGTGTATATACTGTGGTAAAAAACCACCACTCTACCAATGTATATACTGTGTAACAACCATCACTCTACCAGTGTATATACTGTGGAACAGCCACCACTCTACCAGTGTATAAAACTGTGGTAACAACCACCACTCTACCAGTATATATACTGTGGTAACAACCACCACTCACCAGTGCATATACGGTGGTAACAACCACCACCCTAGCAGTGTATATACTGTAGTTGCAACAGCACTCTACAGTGTATTTTACTGTGGTAGCAACCACCACCCTGCCATCGCCTGAATCTCGTTTTAAACAACAGGAAAAAATCATGTTACAGTCTCTTTGGAACACAAGCTATATACACAGAAAGGTGTGTTTCTCTCAGAGAATTATAACCGTATACACTGAGACTTCGATCTTTTGTTTTAGGAATTAAAACTTCATTGCCGGGTCGACAAGCTGTCAACCAGCCCAAAAATTTCTGGGCGAAGATAAAACTATCAATGTTAGGGAGAAAACACTCGGTAGTTTGGCCAATGATGACTATTACAATGAGATTTTGGGCCTATCCTAACAGGAGCCAAAACAGGCTGTTTACTGCTCTGAAAAATTTGGGAAATCCAGCTTAACAAGCGGACACAGTGGAGCTCTGGGCAGAGCACTCTGCTAACAACCGCATCACTA